TCCCTCCTCCCGCCCTCAGCCCCGGGGCTGCCCCTGAGCTCGGAGTTTCGAAGCTATCGTTCTGCCCGACCGGCCTTAACCCCTGGGTGATGATGATTTTCTGGGTGCAATAACAAACCGCTTACATTTCTTCGCGCCACCCCGCAAGTCAGCTGTGAGCCGCTGGACGTGTGTCTCTGGAACAAATGTGCATCTAGACTGTGCACCAGGCAACGCAAAAGTACAATTTAAAAGGCTAATTTCTATTTATTATCAGCACTTTCTGGTTATGGAAGTTCTTGATTTAGGCTTAATCACAACCAATATTAGTTCCAGTGGAAGGGGACAAGAAATGAAATTAAGAAAGGGAAAATTTGTTTTCTCTTCACCAAGGAAGCACTGAATTGCTCCCCTTTGTAATCTGTGCTTACATCAATCCTTGGCAAGGGATAAATAAGTAGAGCCCCTCAGAATACAATTCAGGTTGGCCAGTGGGGACACTTCTAGACCTCATCCATTTTGCTACTGGGAAAAGGTGCACAATTATTTCCTATATTATCTAGTTTTTACATTTACAGGTTCTTAGGATCAAAATTTCCTGGTCTAATTCAGCCAAATCTCTCAGTATGTCGTGGGAAAGGACACAATTTCAGACTAGGGAATAGTCAAGACATTTCACAGAACCATAAAATCGTCCTATCTTGTACAAATTTACCCCGGCCCTGCACATCACTTCTGGCTGCTGAGTTCCTGCATGGCCATGCAGAAGCCAAGACTGATCTTTTTGGCACAGGCAGAGGATCTGCCCATCTGAGAGCATTTATGTGGCCTATGATGACAGACTGAGAGAGTTGGAGCTGTTCAGTCTGCAGAAGAGAAGGCTCCGAGGAGACCTTATTGTGGCTTCCAGTATCTCAAGGGGTCTAAAAGAAAGCTGGTGAGGGGCTTCTTAGGATGTCGAGTAGTGACAGGACTAGAGGGAATGGATTGAAGCTGGAGATGGGTTGGTTCAGATTGGACGTTAGGAAGAAGTTCTTCCCCATGAGGGTGGTGAGACCCTGGCACAGGTTGCCCAGAGAGGGGGTGGAAGCCCCATCCCTGGAAGTTTTTAAGGCCAGGCTGGATGGGGCTCTGGGCAGCCTGATCTAGTGGGGGATGTCCCTGCCCATGGCAGGGAGTTGGAACTAGATGATCTTTAAGGTCTCTTCCAACCCTGACAATTCTATGATTCTATGACAGGAGAGCTTTTCTGTGAGCCTGGACATGCTCTGAGTTCTCACCACTCACTCCCAAGAGCCCAAAGCAGACACATTTTGTGGCAGGGCTCCAAGTATCAAAACTTTCTTAAACACACTATGTTGAGCTGAAAATATTCAGAAACAGCTGAACAGACTGGTTAATGTCCTAATTATTTCACCGAGGCTTTTCAGAGATTAGGGAAGAATTACACCACTTGGGTATTCTGTACCAGTCACAGCCACTGTCATAAGCACCCATCTGGATGTGTGTGCTCAAACGTTGAGCACGTCCAGTTTTGTGATCTTTCTTTTTTTTCTGTCATTTCCCAACTGCTCCTAAGTCATCACAAATTATGAACAGCAAGGACTTTTCACACTGACACCTCACTTGACATATACGAACCAGATGGGATTCAACCTACAGAACTTATAAAGAATGAGCATATTGATGTATTATTAGCATTTATATAGCACCACAGGTGTAGGGCTGGCACATAATAGACAGTAAAGTGACAAGCGCTTTTGGAGATTGCTATCTAAATTAAAACTCACATGATGATAACATCAGTGGAGGATGAAGGCAAGAATAGCAACAGTGAGAAAGTATGAAATGTATTTATTTCTATGCCTACATTTTTTTAAAGTGATAATGGCATCGGCAATGCTGAGTTTGATCAATAGCAGCAACCAAGTGACTTCTAACACTTAAAATATAGTCCTAATATTATTAGTTATTAGTAGTGGCTTGTTCTTACATTCCATGGACTGGCCACTGGTGGAGTATATTATGTTCTGTTCAAATGCAAGTATAACATACAATATAAAAATCTGCCTTGAATCACTTCACCTCACAATAGTACAGGGGCAGGAAATAAGACAAAAAGGCTCATGGGTTGAGATAATGACTGGGACATCACTTGCTAATTGCCTTCATGGGTACAACAGACTCGTCTTTGGGAAAATTAATTTTATTTATTGCAAATTAAACCAGACTTGAGTAGTTGGAAACAAAGACAAAAAACATCTTCTCCCACACTGCATCCAATTTTCCAGCTTAAATTTACTTCTCCACTCCTGATTCCCCTACCCCATAGAGCTGCTATATACAGCACAGGAGACCGCCTGGGATCAGGTCAGATACCTCAGGATAGCTAAAGTGTGCTTGGCACCTGAATTTAAGCACTTGAATCTTTCTTTACAGTGTTCAATTCCTAACAGAAAAATACCCAGTGCTATCTGGGAGCTTGTGGAGTGTCTGAGACTGAGCAAACCAGTACGGGGCAGTGTTTACATCAGGGCTGCTCTGCTCTGGTGTAGTAGCAACTGCTCAGGTGAGACTTCTCACAACACCTAACCTGATACTGCAGAGCCTGTTTTCAGACAACTGAATCCCGCTCTCTGCAGCCACATGTGAGCTCTGTCCATACATGGAGCTGCTAGAGTTCCAAACAATACAACTGGAATTAAAATAAGTATTTACAGAATCACAAAATGTTAGGGGTTGGAAGGGACCTCTGAAGATCATCTAGTCCAACCTTCATCCCAGCATACCTAACCACTACACCATAGCCTCAAGTGCTAGATCTACTTTTTTTATAAACACCTCCAGGGTTGGTGACTCCACCACCTCCCTGGGCAGCCTGTTCCAGTGCCTCACCACTCGTTCAGTAAAGAACTTCCTCCGAATATCCAATCTAAACTTACCCTGATGCAACTTGAGCCCATTTCCCCTTGTCCTGTCATTAGTAATTAGAGAGAAGAGACCAGCACCAGCCTCACTACAGCCTCCTTTTAGGTAGTTGTAGAGGGCAATAAGGTCTCCTCTCAGCCTCCTCTTTAGTGCAATTTCAGACACCTTAGCCTACCCCACTTGAGTATGCGTTTCTACCAGGTCCAGTATTCTGCCAATTTTGTGCATATTCATGGGATATGAGGCTTTCAGATGGCCAAAGTGGCACCAGGTCAGCATGTTAAACACCTTAACTGCTCCCTGGTGTTTAGACATCACACCAGGGCTCCTCGTGCTGGGCTCCAGCTCCCGTTGCCCAGCCCTGACAGTAAGGAGAATGCCAAGGGGAGGTGGGGCTGGGGCTGAAGAAGGTCTCTGATGTGACTGCGGCACTGGGAGACAGGCTGTCCCCACAAAGACAGGAGCAACAGCAGGATGTCCCTGTTGGCCATCCTCCCCACAGACCTGAGTTATCTGTCCCACTGCGCTTGAGTGAATCTCAACAGCCCTTTTTCCCTGGGCAGCCGAGGGTTAGGCCTTCCACATGTCCTTGAGTACTGTCTTCAGTTTTGAGTCTCTCACTACAAGAAGGACATTGAGGCACTAGAATTTGTCCACAGAAGTGCAAGAAAGCTGGTCAGGGGTCTAGAGCATAGGTCTTATGAGGAACACCTGAGAAAACTGGGTTCAGCCTGGAGAAAATGAGGCTGAGGGAAGAGCTTATCATTCTCTACAACTCCCTTTAAGGAAATAGTAGAGTGCTGGGGATCCATCTGTTCAACCAAATAACAAGTGTAAGAACAAGAGGAAATATCCTCAAGTTGCACCAAGGGAAGTTTAAATTGGATGTTAGGAAGAACTTCTGTACTGAAAGGGTTGTCAGTCATTGGAATGTGTTGCCCAGGGCAGTGGTGGACTCCCCTTCCCTAGAGATATTTAAGAGTTGTGTAGACATAGTGCTCAGGGATATGGTTTAGTCAAGGACTATCAGTGTTAGGTTAATGATTGGACTTGATGATCTTAAAGGTCTTTTTCAATCTGGGCAATTCTGTGATTCTGCGACCAGTCCCTCACGGGGTGCAAATCAAGAGTCACATCCTTATGTCAGTCCAATAAGAAAGGATATATATGGGCTCCACACAGACCTAATTTGCTGTCAACTGCATAACCAGGATGTTTTGTGCTCTGTGATAATTTTCATTAGAGACCACTAAATGAAAACTTTTCACTGTCTTACCCGTTTTTAATTTTTTGCTTTTGGATCCTGCCTTATGCTGCTGTTGATTATCATTTTTTTTAAGTGTGGAGCTGGTAATATCAAGTGGGTGGAAAAGAACACAGATCTTGGGTGCCCTGGACTGATTCATGTATTCATGGAAATGGTTGAGCAGTTTCTTTGTGTTTGCTTGGGTGTCTGATGGCTCAGACATACCAGAGCAATAGTGAGAGTTGGACATAAATGGCAGAGAAGTTTGTTACTCAAAAGAGTCCCAGAGTTATGTTTCCCTCAGAAGGTGAAGTTTGCTGTAAAATAACCTCATTCTGACTAGGTTGAGATGCTTTAGTTATTGGCTAACCTGACATGATCTTTTCTGTCCTAAACTTCTTCATGGTTTGTAAATGAGTGAAATACTGACTGGGAAAGAAAGTGTCAGTCTTGATAAACCCAATCTGCAAACTTACCGTGTCATATTTAAATCCATGCTCTTCATCAGGCATAGAAAAGCAATGAACTTCACATATGTACTGCTTGAACAGATCACCAAGCAACCATGCAGTCAACTGTTTTAAAGCAAGTTGGTCTCATATATTGTTGTAGTCCTACTCCAGTGTTGAATAAAACCACATTCTGAAACCTCCTCTTAACAAATTGGGTTCTTTCCAGCCTTAAATTCTTGAAACATTTATTCTTGTCTCCCAGCTGAATAAGGGATTATTTACTGCTTCTTCCACGGAT